CAAAGATAATCAATAGTGCTAAATTCACTATTCAGAACATAAATTGCGTACCTTAAACCCATGGGGGTGCCTCTCTTTTATAGCAAACTCAATCCTAGTCTCAATAGAAGCCTAGCTCTAATGGACTTAGGATTACTGCTAATCTTGGACTCCTAGTAGGATTAGTATAAACTTTCTAAGAGTTTTATCTTTACCCAAACTGAAATCTTCTCACATTCTAGGACTCTTGTGCCTTATCCGCTTATCTCGGATTTCGATATCTTCGGAGGTAACCTCGGCCTCGCTGAGATAACCTCGGCGTCATGACCAGGACACGTGGCACCTCGGTTGACAAGTCGGCATCACCTTAGCCACGTGTTGGTACTCAGAAAATATATCTCCACAATTTTTTATTTTATTAAAATATTCCAATAGAATTTAGATTTGAATTTTTTGTAGACATTTTATAATAAAGGAAAAGTTACATTTAAATGGCAATAGCTCAAATTAATTATATATTTATCTTTTACTTACACAGATTTATTTGTATCCCCATAAAATATAATTATTTTGAATTATTTATATTTAAATACAATTTCTCATAAAATAAATCACAAACTTCTACTTGATTTAGTTGGTATTATATACTTTGATGAGTATGGTAATATACCATGTGAACCACCTAAGTCGTTCCTGTGATGCATAACTCAAGCCGCCCTCTATGACGCATCACCCAAGTCGCCCCTGGCGCACAATCCAAGCCGCCCCTGTGACGTACAATCCAAATTGCCTTATGTGGTGCTGTTGGCTATATATTTTGTAAAAGCTAATTGCAGCTTGACACATGGTACATGAGGGGCAATTCGGAGAGTTAATACAAGTCTCCAGTCAAAGACAGACACGTGGCAGATCATATTGGTTATAATGGATCTACGCAGCACTGGAATAGCTAGAAGGCGCAAGATGACGTGGCACAACGGTTACTCACGAATTCATATTCAAATCCAAGAGGGAAGCATAATTGCAAGAATGGCGTAGTGGGACTGACTATGAGAGAGGATGATCAGCAATCATGGAATGACATTTTGACGGTTGGAAGCCCACTTCGACGGTTACCCTTGAAGAGTATAAATAGTATGGAAGGTCCCAAATTGAATGACCCAGACTCAGACCCAGAAACCAGTCATTTACTTCATATTTTCTTTCCAGTTTTATGTTTCCAGTTCTTTACATTTTCAGCACTTCAATTCCTGTACTGCATTTCATTTTCTAGGAGTAGTTTTCAAGTAGTCGTTGCTATAAATCTTTTCAAGACTAGGTCATTTTGTTGTAAGTTCTTATTCACTCAATGAAATTTAGTTTCTAAATTGTTCTGTACTTGTTATTTCTTATAAATTTCTCCTAAAACAAGCCACCAGTAGAAATCTTTTTCATTAAGGCTGAAAGAACTTCAACACAATCGTTTAATAATTGGTTGGTAATTAAAATTTTGTAAGGACTGATTAATCCTTGCTGGCACACTTAAATTTACATTATTAACCTTCGAAAGCCAAAAAAGTCAACATATATTTTTGATACGCCTAGTGAGACTTATTAAAAATGGCTAGACGTAGAGCAAGAGGAGAAAATGAATGCCTAGAAAAGGGTGTGGAATGAGAGGTAGAAATACCTAACCCAGAGGACAATGTGATAGATGCACCTATCCCATTAGATCCTCCACAAATGGTCAAACATACCAGTATTTTAGAATATACAACACATGTCTAATACACTGGACATGGCCATGAGACTAGACCTTCAAATGTCCCTTCTACCCACCCAATAAATCCATGGGGAGCTTTAGTAGATGTTATGGGGCAACAATTAATATACACAATGGAAAGATAGGCAACATCCTTTTTGGATCGAGTAAACTCCCATCAACCAATGATCGCACGATAGACTGAAGAAAACATGAATTCCCTTCAGCATAGATTGGTTCGAGACAAACAGCCTATGCAAAATAATGGACAAACCAATGGTCAGACTAGCAATCATAGTCATGAAAGGTCACCACTTGTGCCTTAGTCATGGTATGAAGCTTCTTCGAGACCACTAACAAACCAAAATGTACCATTGCCCACCAGCGAAACCATACAAATTGGTGGATCTGGGCTAAAACAAGGGAATGATATGAGGATGTTTCCAAATCCTATGTTCGAAGGCATACCTGGCACACAGGGCTTCATTAATCCTGTGTTTGAATTTACACCAAGGGGGTTGGAGGGATTTTCTGTGGCTGGAAGAGAAGCAACATCTGTTCCTCCTCCTGTAGTACCTGTCGTAGGGCCTATCCCAGGACTGATTCCAAGAGGTCAGCCATAATTCTAACAGACTTTTCCCAAGATAGATTTCAAGAGGTCAGCCATACCTCCAACAATAACTAGTGCAATAAGAACAACCATCCTTGAATGTACCCATATATGGACCAAGAGGACCTCAAGCACATGGAGTTCCTCCAAACCCTGTGGTTGTTCCTCTAGTAGTGGTTCAACTAGCACAAAATATGGTTCCAAGGGACCAATTTGCTAGTGTAGTTAGAGAAATGTGTGGACCTACGGCTTAGGGGGTTCAGACACCAGTGTACAGAAAACCTTACCCAGATTGGGTGGATAGGGTACATGAGTATTTGTAGACACCCCATTTTTGACCGTTCTCAAGACTTGGACATCATCGCTTGTGCACTCAATCATTATGATTGCATATGTTTGTTTTAGTGCTCGAAGTCCTCAGCGAAATGCCCTGTCTTTAAGCCTTAAAACCCTGCCCATTTTATGCCTTGCTTTGGACCAAAACCTTAGTGCTTCAAGCCTCAAGACCCTAGGACCTGCAGGCCCTCCCATCTGGTGGACTGCCGGCCACAAATTGTGCCCTGCCGACCACCCTTGTGCCATGCCGGCCAATGGTGTGGCCTGCCGGCCATCAGTGTCTTTTTTGAGATATTTTGTTGACAGCTATTCCAACTGTTACCACAATTGGCTGCATCTCCCTACACATGTATGAAGGGATTTATCTCAGTCAAATGCATGTTTTTCTATATATAGGGGGTCTCTTTCCCCATTTTTGAAGGTTAGAAATTTTGGAGCAACAATTATCTCTCTCTCTCTCTCTCTCTCTCTCTCTCTTTGCATTTCTCTTTCTTTCTTGCAAATTTGTGCACCTTAGCCTACATACACTACACTGTTGCCTACACCTCCTTAACAAAAGTGGTTCATATTTGAGCTGAGGTTCTTTGAGGCCTTCTTGGAGCTCTGGAAGGTGGTTTTGGCTTGAATTGTTACCTAAAATTGATCTTTGCTTCAAGAGGTATAACAGTTGCTTTTTTAACTTGTTTTGCAGACTTGTTTTTCTATATTTTTTGACTCATTTTGGGCTGTTTTTGGGCTATAAAAAAACTCTATTTTTGTGGGTTGAAATTGGTGGTTTTAGGCCATTTAAGGTTAGGGGGTGGCTCACTTTTCTTTATTCCTTGTTTGTAAGGCCTTTCCACTTTTGTTTCCCACTTTCGTTTCCCACTTTCAAACTATCTTTTTTGGGCTTTTGAACACTAAATTTCAGAGTATTTTTAGTGGTAAAAATCATATTTTGAAGTCCAAATTTGCAGGGGTTAGTCTCCCCTCCTTGTGTTTTGTTTGCTTGCCTAGATAGCTCTATGTTGTCGCTTATTTTTCTAGCCATTTATAGCTTAATTCCAGCATGTTTTAGGCTCTATTTTGGACTATTTTATCTCTCTCTGATGTTGCAGATCGAATGAATTGCTGAGGGATACTAGCCTCATCTCATCTCCTCTTCGGCTGTGAATCTGAAATCAGAGGAAGGTTTTAATCTCTCTATGGACACCCCTTCTTCTTCTAGGTCTTCATCTTGAACAGAATCAAAGAATCCCTATCTTTCTCTCTCTCACTCTTTGTTCTTCTTGAGCAGAGCCAAAAAACGCTACCTAGAAAAACCCACTCTCTATTTCCTTACATCCCTTATAACCCTTCAGATTTCAAATTACAACTCGCAAGGGGTAAGATTTGTATTCAGTTGCTGTTGTACCGACACTACTTCCTTCGAACTCGCAAGGTAATTTTAAGTCGCTATCGTTGATTATGTTGTTTCACTCTCCTCCTTCAAACTCGGTTGATGGCTATTTTTGTTTTTTGCTGTGTTAGGTTAGCATTTTTTACTGTGTTGGGTTAGCATTTTTGTTGTGTTGGGTTAGCATTCTTCTTTATACCATAGTTTTCCTCTAATATAATTGATTGATTTTGTTATCCCTCCATGTTTTGTACAAGGTAGTTTGTGAAATTTTTGACAGCTCACCGATTCTCCAGCCCTAATCACCGCATAGCCCGTCATCCAATCGTAATCTCTCATCTCCTCCCTCCCTCTCTCTCTCTCTCTCTCTTTCTACTAATTTCTCTCTCCACTTTCCTCTTCTCTTCTGAACCCATTTCCTCATATGGGTTTTTACTTTTTTTAGCCTTTCTCAAAGTTTTGTTTTGTTATATCTATCTTTTTGTTCTGAGTTATACATTCTAGGGATTTCATAGTTTCGAATCTATTCGAAGCTTGAAATTTTCACTTGGGTATTCTTTATTTAGCTCTGTTCTATAATTTCTTTTTCTGGGTACCACCAAATTCACTCACTTTCCAATTGGTTTTGAGTTTCCAATTATCATTTTGAAAAAGAAAAAAAATAATTTAAAGTTAGAATTAGGTTCTGTTATGATCTTGTGGAAACAGAGAATAATGGTTAACAGTTACAACACAATTAAATCATTTTAAGGTCTCATAGTTTTTGACCAAATTTTATTGTTGAAAAAAAATTTATCTCAACCCTTTGTGTTCATGGTCATTTTGGAGCTTCTTGGAATTAATTCATTCTATTGTTAGACAAGTGTTTGGCTTGGAGAATTGAAGTAGGTTAGGATTGGCCAAACATAGATGCATTAGGGGCATTGGTGTTTTATGGGTCTTTCTCATTTGTTTACAATATGGGGAGGGTTAAGTTAAAGATAAAGAGATTAGAGAGCATTAGCAATCAACAAGTGACGTATTCGAGAAGAAGGAATGGAATCTTGAAGAAAGCTAAAGAATTATTCATATTATGTGACATTGACATTGTCCTTCTCATGTTTTCTCCAACTGGAAAGGCAACATTATTCCGCAGAGAGTACAGGTATTTTCAAGCCTCCAATTGTGCCTATATAAAAATGTTTGTGAAATTTGATGTATGGCATGAAAAATTAAACAAAATTCACTTGGATTTATGTGCACCAATTATCATTTCTTGAAATCATATGTTTTTTTGTTTAGCAACATTGAAGAGGTTATTACAAAATTCACTCAACTGACACCACAAAAAAGGACAAAAAGGTCAGTACAGATATGCTTTAAATCTATGAGGATGAAGAGTTGTTTTTCTTTTCTTTTTTTTTTTTTGGTAAATTTGAACTGCATTTGTCACAATGTCACTAAATAATTTTCATTTGAATGACCAGGAAGTTGAAGAGCCTTGAAGTTGTTTTTCTTATTCATTGCTAGAATCCCAGTGAACTTCTTTTTTGACATTTTTTATTTAAATTGTTATGGATAGGAATTATCCAACCAATTGAGGATGATATGAGCTCAACTTACAGAAGCACACAAGAGACTGAGGTGCAACTTTGAAGCTCATATTTGTTAAAGTCTTACCTTCCCTCCCCCTCCACCCTTTTCTTTTTGGTCTTGTGAATCATAAAATTGGCATGGTATAGTTATGCCCCGAAAAGCCCAATCAATTAAATTTTGCAATATAATTTTGTCTACATTGTTTTGTTCTAGGTTAAGATAAACTTAATACAATGTTTATAGATGTGGAGGCTTTGAACAATCGTCATTCTGTCTTTTACTTTTTTGTAGCCTGTAAATTAGTTCAAGTCAGTGATTTCCCCATTGTGGTATAATAGTTGTAGCTTTGTTTTATTTTGTTTTAGTCACATTTCATATAGTCTGTTTCATGGTTTGTACATGTGCATAACTGTTTCCCACATTCTGTATCTGTGTGCCTTTACACTCTTACTAAAAAATTTATATAAATTGATTTATGTGTGTGACGTTTGCGTTTATATTTTTTGTAATCGCCGGATATTTCATGGATTACTTACTGCTCCAAATTATTTCATGGATTGCGTTTATATTTCTTAAAATATATGATTTGGCAGAAATTTAAAGATTGACTAAGAAAGAATAAACAACTTTAGAGTTGTTCATAATTGCTTTATGTTTTGTTTACAAAATCTGCTTAGATTTAATGTTTAGTGGTGTTTTTTGTTTACATGTATTTCTTTAGTGTTCAAAAACTTGAAAACAAGTCATGATTCTATGGTGGTTCTATCTTATTCATAGAATGCCAGTTGCATAAAATGATTTCTGGTGCATTATTAAAGGGGTAAGAAGTTTGAAGATATAAGAGTAGGGTTTCTGTTTGATTAAATAGTGAAGCTTGTCTGTTTTTGCTAGTAGTGGATAAGGATACATAATTTATTTGTTGTGAAACAGAGGCTTTTACCTTTCTGAATCTTCTTTGTTCCATTTGTTCATCTTTATGTATGGTGCCTTATCAACTGGGATCTTTATGTATGGTGCCTTATCAACTGGGATCTTTATGTATGGTGCCTTATCAACTGGGATTATTTGTGATTGTAAAACTGGTTATAAAATTTCAACGGCCGGCATATAAACGTAGCCACAAACCACCATTTAAGAGAAACCCTACAAAATCTGTCTCTGTGTGTGTGTGTGTGTGTGTGTGTGTGTGTGTGTGTGTGACCCTTTTCTTATCCTTCAAGACATACCATACCTTTCTCTATAGGTATATCATCAATCAAATCAATATATAATTTATTAGTCTGTGAAATTCTTACAGTTGGTACAGTCGAGTTCCATAATCCCATTCATGGCTGTTCTCTAGAGCTAGAGCTGAGCTCCTCTGTTATTAGTGTGTTTTGTGAAGACAATCCATGGTGGGTTTTTGAAGTTCAGCTTCTGTTTTGTTAATGGTCTTTTTTTTTTGTGTGTTTTTTTGTGTGTTTTTTTTTTTTTTTTTTTTCCTTCTCTTCTCCTAGTGTTGTGTTGATGCTAGTTTAGGTGTTCGAGGTAATGAATAAGTAAGAGGAGACGACGCTGACAGAATTGACTACAAAAAGGGTAGAATTTAAAGCTATGCAAGCTGAAGCTGAAACTGTATGATTGCCATTTCTCTATCAATTTTTTTATTGAATTCTCTGTATTTTGGTAATTCATAGTGCCTCGTGGGAAATAAAATGAAAAGGGAAGTAACTTGTTCTGCCTTAGTTTCATGTAATCGTGGAATTGATAAGATGACTCCTTTACATTGGTTTTATTGGGTCTAAATTTAATCCACGCACCATACCAGCTTGGGTTACTAAGGTGAGAGGGAGTTTTTATGAGCATTAGGGCCGAGCTAAGCCCAGGCGTAGTAATAGGCCGTTCTATGGGTCATGGTGGAAAGGGCTTAGCGAGTGGACCTTAGTGTTAGCTCGGTCCAAATATGGTTACAGTCACCACGGTCGGAGTGATGATAATTAGCTTGGTCATAGTATTTGGAGCTGAGGTATTTGGGCTTCTTACGGTGGACCTTGCTCTTGTTAGCTCAGTCAAAGCTTGCTGTAGTTAGCTCGGTCTCAACAGACAAAACCGAGGTACAAGTGAACAAAGAGCCGAGCTATGTGTTGCATGTGGAGGCGCTAGATTAAGTATGACAAAGGGCTAATGTTAGCTAGGTCATACTGTCATCCAACCGAGATAAAACCATCTCACTTGGTTTAAGCAGTGAGGGGGGTGTTGAAAGATAAACATTATCTTTCAGGAGTGTGATTCCTAGGAGGACTCTACATGGAGGAATAAGAGTCCTACTAGGATTATGCCAAGCAAAAACTATAAAAGCTCACAACATAACCTATATAGAGGTAACACAATTTTGATTTTAGAAATACACAGAGCTTTTGTCTATTTGTCTATTTTGTTGACTTAGGCATCGGAGAGGTATCCGGCACACACCTGCCGGCTAGCTCACGTTTGTGTTTTCAGGGAATAAAGCGACGACGTTTGGAGAAGCGCAAAATTAACCAACAGGATTATACGAGAACATTATTTTGTACTCGTACATAAGGGATATTCAGAGGAGAGGAGATTGATGAATCAATCCCATTTGGCAATCCTCAAAAGCATAGACATTACAAAGAGAGTAGTAGTCAGAATGGTTGGTTGCACCTTTGTAGCTCACCAAATTAGGCTTCCAACAGCTCAAACATTACCCAATTGACTAAAAACTGGCTTAGAGGAAACAAACTTAGCTATCACTCTCAGGAGCTCTAGAGTCCACAAGGCAAAGAAATTTTTGATGAGTTAAAAAAATGATTTTTTTCTGTTTTTTTGGTTCTTCTCAATATATGGAATTTTGTTTTTTAAACCGCATGCAAATTAAAGGCTGGTAACCACAGATATGAGTAAACTTATTTTGATATGTAACAATGAATTACCTTTGCCTAAAGGCAGTTCTGAAAAAAAATTATTATGTTGGGATATTGGAATATACGTCAAAGTCAAAGGGAAATTAGCATTACTTGAAAAAAAAAATTTGTGGTATGCATATCTGGATAGGGAACTTTATGATTATGATTTCTAATGAGTTATTTTTTTCTACTGAATCATTTTTCTATTTTGGAATGATTGTTGCATTCATAGGTGTACTAAGTAGGATACTCTAAATGACATAGACATGTACTTCAATTATTTGTCTTTTTTATTACTTTAGTTTTTCATGAGAGAGAAAATTAATGTGGGAATCTCTTTATTTTGTTGTTTTGCAGTAATCTAAAGTGACATTGCTGATAGGATATGAGTCCAAATGGCAGTTTGGGTGATTTCAAAGATAGGTAATGGTTATTTCACAATTAATAGTTTTTGTTTTTGCACGAAAATTGGATGCAATTTCAGCAACATGAGCGTTTTTTTTTTTTTTTTTTCACTGATAGGCTGTAGAGAAGCAAGAGCTAGGAAGAACAAGTACATGATCTTTGATGATGATAGTTACTGTGTGGGATGAGTACATTAAGTAAGCATTTTAGTACAATTCTGGGCCACTTAATTTAGTTAAAGAATTTGATGCTATTCACATTATGAACATTTGGTGATTTCATGAATTTCAAACCAAATTGACTATAATTTTAAACATTAGCATTGTTTAGAATGCCTAAATTCACTTTAATTTTTATTTTATTTAATAAGTTATTGTGGGAGTAGAAATGTAGTTGTGGGCTACTTAATACAAAGTTTATAATGTCCTCTATCCATCTGAGCTTTAACTCAACATAAGGAGCTCAAAGTGAAAAATTATGATGCATGCTAAAATAACAATATCTTAAACCTTGAATCAAATATAACAAGCATCCTGGTAGTATTATCCTTGCAAAAAACTAATCAACACCAAAACAAAAGAGTACTGCTAGCTGGCCCCTATGCATCAGAGTAGTCAAAACCCAAGTAAAAACAGAGCCAACCCACCCAGCCTTCATCTTATTTTGATGCATCTTCTCCCTTTGGCTGTTCAAACACCCTTGATGCTTGAATTAATCTACAATCACCCAAAATCACTATCTGATACATCTTCTCAGTTGTTACAACTCTGATACAAATTGATTTTAACTGAATAAAATTTTCCCTAGGAATTAGTTTTCATCCACAATGCCACTCTCACCATCATTAGCTCACATAACTTCTCAAGATCTGGCTGTGCTTTATCAAAAATGAATTCTTACATCTCCAAACAGACCAAAAAAGTGCAATTAAACATTATATGGTTCAATGTTTGTGCTTTAGATTTACAAAAAATGCACATTGAACCTAATCTCTCTCTCGTAGACCGACTTCTACAGATCTCCCCATTTTCTCACTCACTAGCAGTGGCGATAACTCCCTATCAATGACAACATCGGCGTCTCTAAATCTCCCTCAGACATCCAGGTATAGTTCTTCTCTCTTCTAGGTCATTTTTTCGAGCATTAAGTGAACACTGGACTGAGCATAGTTGGGATTGTATATCTTTTATCGCTCTCCTACTCCCTGAGAATCTCTCTTCTTGTGTGTCTAGAATGAATACATAGGAATTTTTTTAGTTTGGGATCAATATCGTCCAATGATATCAGGTCTGTCAAGATCCTCTCCTCTATATTTATTTATATACATGCTATGTATATATGTACATATGTAATAGATGGTAGTCTGTAAATGTTATCTGATATTAAGGGTCCTCTAATTGTTTGAAAAAATGCCTGACTAAAAAAAAACTGTGTTTGCTTATCCATGATGACTAAACAATCACAAGTGGAATGATAATTGAGTTGATTTTGGTCTTTTCAATGGATGTATATATTTTGGGCACTGCTGAGCTAGATGAGTTTTTTTTGTTTTACCTCCTAATTTTCTATGGTTATGTACTTCTCTAAATCCAATTTTAATTTTCTTGTTCTTCTTTAATAGAAATTCAACCTCTTACATAGAATATTTGTGGATATTATATGATTAAGGACTGAACATTTATTTGGACTATTTTCTGCCCTGATATTCTGCACACATGGTTGTGTTCTTGTTGTCATTTCTGAATTTAGTAAATTTACTTAATTTGCACTGAAGTTCTAATATAAATTCCTTGTATGCTAGCTTATGTCTTCTCTTTCATACAATGACTGTTTATTTGTGTGTGTGTGAGTGTGTGGAACCAAAAGAAAAACAATCCAGGTATTTGTTATTTGAAATTGTCACCCTTCTCTAGACATAGTTTTTATTTTTCACATGTTTGATAGTGACAATGTAAAGAATTCAGATGAAGGTGCATAGTTGTGGATGTTTTTTGGGACAAAACAAAGATTCTGGGTCAAGATTTTAAGCATTTTGAAACAAAGTAGTGTTGGTCATGTTTATATAAATGTAATTTTGGTCAATATAAATGAAACAAAATATTTTTGTTAATTCTTTGTGATCAAATAGTTAACTTGTAGATTATAATCCTTGTAATTTTCCTTTGGTTTTGTTGCTGAAATACTGAAAAACAATGGATTGGCTATTGAAAAGAGTAAGATTCTTGATTTTGTTGTTTATCAAGAAAGAAAATATGTTTCTTCATATTTCATCTCGTAAGCAAAATGTCGAACTCTTGATTTCTCTCAAATTAAATGGTTATCATTTTGCAAAGATTATGACTTCAGCTGTCGATATGAAGGATGAGTCAAGAGGGCAACCTACCTAGAAAGCTAAAGTAAGTTTGAAATTAAATGGAGTTTTATGATTTTGGTCATATGTACATGATTTACACTAAAAAAAATAAAATAAAAATGGAGCCCCTCTTGTATTTCTTACATCTGATGGATTTTTCATCCTTTTTATTAGTCTTATGCATCTGGTTTCTCTGGACTTTTTTTTTTTTTTTTGGCCTGTCTGTAGATAGGATTCAGTGTGGATTTTTAACTTCTTTATGGTTCACTTGTAAAATCATGCAAATTAAGCTATTGTTATAATCTAGCCTTGACATGTTGATAATATCTGTGTCTTTTGGTTCACAGATTGAGATATTGCTGGGGAAGACTGAGAAGTTTAATGAATTGATGGCAGCTACTGTTGCAGAAAGAGAACTTAGAGAAGGTGAAGAGCAGAGTTGAAGTGGTACTATTTTAGTTTCTAGGTTGTTGGTCTTAATGTAGTACGAGTGAATGCAATTTTAACCAGTTTCTTTAATTATAGTAGTTTTAGATATTCTCTTAATAGTTGTCAATATGTTTAGAAAGTTAGATATGCATAATTTTGGATGGTTTAAACTTTTTGTGCAGTTTAGAACTTAAGGATATGGTTTTCGAATGTTTGGAATGTATAGACAATTGTTGAATGTTTATAATTTATGGATATAGTTTCTTTTTGATGTTTCAAACAATATTTTCGTGGTTGATTGATGTTTTGTGATGTTTGTTTGTAATATTTGTTAGATTGTACAAAATTGGTCAAATAGAACTTGCTGAATTTTTTTTTTTTTTTAAAAACCTGCATATTCTATGGCAGGCATAATAAGTCGTATTACATATTTTATGACGCACAATCAGCGTCATTATTTGTCTCACCAATTAACGACGTGCAAAAGTAGTCGTAAAAAAAGTAACAACGACGCACAAAATCTGTAGTTAAATAATTTTAACGACGTACTATAGCATGTCATAGAAAAAACAACAACGACACACAAAATCTGCCGTTAAATAATTTTTAACGGTGTACGAAGCATGTCGTTGAAAGTGAATGACTTGCTATGACTGGTCATAATATGACGCGCACTGCACGTCGTAGAAGGGTTTTTACAGCGTGCATTGCGCGCCGTAAAAACCCTTTTTGTTGTAGTGAACTTAAAGGAAAACTGTACTGTACATGGCATAATTCTTAGTCTCATTCAACTAAAAACTATATTGTTTTCTGAGACAGGATCCAAGAACAAATTCGGAAGAAGAGGCTAAAGTTTCCAACCAAGTCTGAAAAAGGTATGGGAATTGACACCAACCCATTTCCGGAGATTGGGGAGGCTGCAGCCCAAGTTGGCATGCCAGATTTCCAAAACCTATCCTTGAAAGAATTGGAGGAGGTCACTATGCAGATGCATGTGGCTAGCCAGGCTGCTTTCAGGAAGAACACAAGAAGTTCACCAGTTGATGGATAGAGCTCTGCAGGCCTAAAGAAGGCTCTAGTGAAGAGATGTTGGATGACGATTCTTTCGAAGCTACTGTAGTGCAGAGGATATGTCCCAGGTACAGGATGTGTTACACGTGGCTTAAAGGGCTCCCAGTTGATGGGAAGCAGTATTATAAAGAGGTGCAGAAAGACCAAATAGCCAGCACCTATAACAAGAGGCCATACCCAACTGGCCCTAGACAGCATTCATCCTTGGTAGTTCCACCAAATACCAGAATGCAATCAAAAAAAAAGAGGCCTCTGTATGAAACCAAGCCACCCAATTATTACAGGATAGACAACCAGCCTAAAATGAAGCACGGATTCAGTGCAAGGGATTAGACCATGACTGATAATTGGCCCTTAAGGACTGCTTCGAAGACTGTTTAAAAGAGTGGGGCACTAAATCCAGCAGCCAGACTAGTGGGCTTAAGGATCCCAAGAGTTCCAGTTTAGTTTGTCATACAGAACAAACATAAGGAAATGCCTACTCAAAGAAAGGTTTTGGAGACCAAGGAAGAATGATCAAACCTCCCTTGGTGGCTCCAAACAATTGGATGTTATTAAAGAACCCAAAAACAAGGGAGCAAGATGTGGTTCTTATGATTTCTAGGTCTCAAAGGAGGAAGATCCAACGAAAATACACCCAGTATTAGATGGATCTAAAAAAAAGCGAAGAGAGCACTTCTGTGGCACAAGCAAAAGACCAGATTGATGAGGGGATAGGTTCGAAACCTGCTCCGAAGATCAAGAGGAGCGCCAGTATGGAGCAATTGGCTAAAGTTCATGTTGAACTGAGAGCCAAAGAAAAATCTAGTTTAGCAGACCTCAAGAAGGCTTTAATAGAAAATGATGATGAAACGGATGAAGAGACTAGGTTAGGTCAAAAGAAAACATTAATTGAAGATGAAATGTTTGAGGCCTTCATGGCTGAGCAGACCTTTCTGGTTAATAAGCCAACGGAGGTAAACCACCAACAGACTGCTTCGAAGGAACTTGCTAGCACAAAGGTACTAGAATGTAGTATGAAGGATGCTTCTAAAATAACAAAACAACCTAGTTTGGAAGGGAAACAAGTACAGCGAGTAGTTCTGTTTGGCTTATTCCCTCCAATGCCAATAAACATGGTATATATGCTGCCACAGGAGTTCCAGGCTGAAGAGGGAAACCAAGAAGGTCAGGAAGATGACCCATTCCAGTTTCTAGTGAAAATTCATAGGCCAGCATGATTCAAGATGAGTTTGAAATGGCCACACCAATGGAAACTGAAGAAGAATGTAAAAAGTGAGTATTAACCTCTCATATCTCTTCGAGTACCCTACAACATCTATAACTTAGCACGTTATGCCCCTGTATATCAAGGCTTACTTCGATAGGATACAAATGAATAGGGTGTTAGTGGACAATGGGGCGGCAGTTAACCTACTTTTGAAGTCCTCCTTGAAGAAATTAGGAAAAAGAAATTCCAGATTAATCCCAACCAGCACAACCATTACTGGTTTTGCTGGGGATAAGTAGATAGCTCAAGGTATTCTGCCTATTAACTTGAGTGTGGGAACCAGAGATTGCATGACAGCTTTCTTTGTTATAGAAAATAATGCCAAGTATAATGCTTTGTTTGGCAAGGATTGGATCCACACCAACAAATGTGTGCCTTCCTCTCTACAACTGAAAATGATGATAGAGCTATGCAATAGAGAGACAGTTATATACTGAATGAATGACACCACTCAGTGTGTTGAAGAAGCCTGATGGAACAGCTGAAAAAGCCTGATGAAACAGCCGAAGTGACAACTGATGAGGAAATAGCACACCTGAAGCACTTAGTGCAGGAGAGTGCTGATAAAGAATTCATCACCAAAGATGACAATGATGTCAGGTTGTAGGCAAGAAGATCAAGACCAAAAAGCTAAACGTTTGGCTTCAATCAAGTTTTTAGTATTGGACTTAAAATCAATAGTCCAAAAAGTGCAGGAACAAAAGAGAGAAGTCATGGTGATTGGCTATAATCAATAGCAACAAAAGGCTACATTTTTTGCTCTAGGTAAGTACTGTGCGTTGGATATTGAAACAAAAGTCTAGGAGATACAAGAAGAAGAATCCTTTTGAACAGATTTTGTCTGTGAAGAAGAAAGCAAAGAGGTGAAACTTGAAAGGATAGAGATAGACAAAAAGACTACTTTGAAGGCAGAGGAATGTAAGAGGGAAGCATCAGTGAATACCCAAGCACAAGACCCCTTGGAAGAAATTAGCCTAGGTAAAGGTTCAGCACAGCAACCTACCTATATCATTGTTTGGTTAGATCCTAATGACAGGAACTAGTTATTGGTTGTATTAAAATAATATAAGGATTGCTTTGCTTGGTTTTATAATGAGCTGTCTGGATTGGACAAGTCATTAGTGGAACATAGGCTCCCTATGAAGCCTAACTTCAAGCCACACAAACAGAAACCAAGACGGATAAGCCCTGAAGTGGTTCAGAAAGTGAAGGAAGAGATTCTCAGGCTCCTTAAAGTAGACTTCATAAGAATAGCCAGGTATGTTGAATGGTTGTCTCACATTATGCCTGTGGTTAAAAAGAATAGCAAGATGAGGGTATGCATCGATTTTAGAAATCTGAATTTGGCAACTCCAAAAGATAAATACCCCATGTCTATAGTTGATCTATTGGTGGACAGTTCAGTAGGGCACAGGATTTTGTCTGTGATGGATGGGCATTCGAGTTACAACCAGATCTGCATTGCAGAGGAAGATGTCCATAAGACAACATTTAGGTATCCTAGAAATATTGACACCTTCGAATGGGTGAAAATGCCATTTGGTCTAAAGAATGCTGGGGCAACATATCAGAGGGCAATGCATACTATCTTCCATGATTTTATTGGAGGATACGTAGAGTGTTACATTGATGATACTGTTGTAAAGTCCCAGTTTATGGAGGAACACTTGGTTCACTTGGTAACAGCTTTCAAAAGAATGCGAAAGTTCAAGTTGAAGCTTAATCTTCTCAAATGTGCTTTTGGTGTATCAGCTGGAAACTTCTTGGGGTATGTAATGCACAAGAAGGGAATACAAATTGATCAGAATAAAGCCAAAGCCATCATTGAGGCCAAACATCCATCAAGTAAGAAAGAATTACAAAAGTTCCTTGGTCAGATTAATTTTCTTCGAAGATTTATTTCTAACACTGTAGGAAAAACTAAAGTATTTTCTTCTTTGTTAAAGTTGAAAAATGAAGAAGAGTTTGTGTGGGCAGTAGAACATCAAGCTGCTTTTGAAGGGATTAAAATTTACTTGGCCAAGCCTCCAGTGTTGATGCCACCAAGGAGAGATAAGCCTTTGAAGTTATACATTGCTGCAGCAGAAGATTCATTAGGAGTTTTCCTAACTCAGGACAATGAAGAAGGCAAGGAGCAAGTAGTTCATTACCTTAGTAGGTTTTTAAATTCCTGTGAATGTAAATACTCAGCTGTAGAGAAGTTGTGCCTTGCACTGTACTTTGCAACAATGAAATTAAGGTATTATCTTTTGCCTACTGTTGTCTTGGTAATTGCAACCACAGACTTGGTTAAGTACATGTTATCTACACCTATGCTGAGAGGAAGAATTGGTAAATGGATATTAGCTCTTTCAGAGTTTCATCTAGAATATGTCTCTCAAAAGGCAGTAAAACAGTAAATTTTGGCTAACTTTTTGGCAGATCATCCATGTCAAACAAAAAGCCAAGAAATAATGGATTTTGGTCTAGTTAATATTGAGCCATGGCAAATGTGGTTCGATGGATTAAAAGCCAATGGTCCGACTGGAATCGGTGTTATCATTAAGTCACCACAAGGGGTAGAAACCATACATGGTTTCCGAATTGATGAAACTACTTATTCCAATAATCAAGCTGAATATGAAGCTTTAATAACGGGACTTGAGATACTCACTGGATTATAAGCTCATGCAGTTGATATATTTGGGGATTCCCAATTGGTAATCAACAAAATAAAAGGAATCTTCAAATGTCAAAGTGCAAGCATGTTACCATATTATATTGTTACACTACATTTGCTTTCTCAGTTTCAGATAGCCCATGTGACTTATATCCCAAGATTCATGAATCATAAGGCCAATGATATAGCTCAAAAGGCCTTGAATTTTAAAAGAAATGGAAATACCCAAGTGGACATAAGTCAGGCAACATATCAGAAGTTAATATTGCCTTTTGCTAAAAGGGGTATTATGGTAGAAGTTAATCAGAATAACTTAGAAGAGCATGATTGGAGACATCCAATCATTTAATATTTAACTGGCCCTTCTTTGAAGGCAGTAGAAAAATTAAATTACAGTCTATGCAATATATAGTGTACAATAATGCTCTTTACAAAAGGGGAGCAGACGGATTGTTGTTGGAATGCATAGGGCCAAAAGAAGCACTGACTGCTATAGCTGAGGTGCATGTAGAGTATTTGTGGTGCCCATCAGCCTGGTGTGAAGATGAGATGGTTGCTTCAAAGGCATTCTTACTATTGGTCAACCATCCTAAAGGAATGTATAGAGTATGCAAAAGGATGTCAAGCATGCCAAAAGTATGGCATGATAAGACATGTGTCAATAGCTGATTTGCATGCAGTAATGAAACCATGACCATTTAGAGGATGGGAAATGGATATGATAGGAAAAATATATCCACCGTCTTCGAAGCATCATTGTTTTATTCTAGTGGCCATAGATTACTTCACTAAATGGGTCGAAGCTAAGCCTTATAAGGCTGTGGATCAGACTAAGGTTATTGGATTTATCAGAGAATTAATCCATATGTTTGGCATCCCTCAGACCATAACTGTGGATAATGGGACTGTGTTTGATGGAAAAATTGTGAAATCTTTCGCAGTAGAATTTGGAATTAGTCTTATCAATTCCACCCCCTATTATGCACAAGCAAATGGTCAAGCAGAATCATCTAACAAGTCCTTGAAAAAAGGAATACAAAGAGTTGTGGAA